CTAAACTCCCGTAAGCTACAACGCCACTTTCTCAGACGGAAAAATCTTACGTCTCACGTTGCACACCTCTAAACTCCCGTAAGCTACCACGCCACTTTCTCAGACGGAAAAATCTAATGACACTACCTTCAGCCAAACTTTAACAATATTATTATGCCGGCCCATCTTTCAATTCAGCTCGCCCGGTATATCTATTACACCTCCAGTGTCCTTTTTCATGGTGGACTGTGGCTTACGATGTACGAGTACCGCACTGAAGCTGGGTTTGGAATGAATGCTCATTCTTTTCAATGTAGCCTACGAGCAAGTTTGCTCCTCCCCTCACGAGTACAGCCACCTTCTATGCATATGCTCATTTCAATTTTGGATCTGTATTCCATGCCCAACATGCCCACTCCACACTCCACACAACAACAACTGACTGGACCTATTAATTTTATTATGGTGTGAGACTAATTGAAATAACTAAAATATTGGTGCCTACAGTAATACGATTGTTGTATCGCGCATCTGGTTTATTCATTCTTCGTGACGCACCGGTAAAGCGGTACAGTACTAGCTGCTATGTCAGCTACTACTAGTAGTAGTGGTACCTAGCTAGTACGGGGGTAAAAGTGCACAGATACTAGCTACCGGTGGTACTGCAGTACCGGTACCCTGCAGCAAGAACGACAGGGTCTTGCGAATTCGGGGCTTTGCCTTGTGTCACGGATGAGTTGTCGTCGACCATTGGCTGGATCCTTGCCCCGTGCTGTTGAAACAAAAGCTTTTACCGTCATGCCTTCTACCAAACTCTCTGTGAAGGAGACGACCGAGCCAATGGCGCGATAAGGCTACCTTTGGTTTCTTGTATCCGGATTGTAGTCTACTAGCTACTGAGTAGAGTATTGGTCCTAATAGGCTGCTCCAGCTAGATAGCACACCATGACTTCAGGGCCTTGTGGCTGTCTGCCAACCCAAGTGGAAAGAGATTTTTCAGAAACCTAGCTGAGTACGAGCCCCAGGCTCCGTCGAAAGCTCAAATATCTAACTTGGTGGCTACCCAACGAAAGAGCATCGAAGGCTTCCCCTGCGGTGCCTCTCCTCCGGCCCCCCAGACTCTCTCTGGGCAACAGACCTCAAGAATAATAAATAATGTTCCTAATAGTTAAACACTCCAACAGTAGTAGAGTTCAGTTAGTTCATCTGGCTAGTAGATAGCTAGTCCAGCTGTACGACTTCGGTAAATTTGCTGCCAGGAGGGTCCGCCGCCTTTTTGCGCGTCTCTTGGCTTGCAGCGTTCGTATCGGCCTCCTGACGACAAATTGCGTACTTCTTGTCCAGGCGCAAATTGGCACCCAACATCACAGGTGGCTGCCGAGGTGGTATCGCATGGCCAGCACTGGCAACCGGGACAGGCGATTGTTGTTCTGAATCCGCGTTGCGGGGTTGTTGTGGTGGATAGGAGGAAGGGCCTTGTCGCAGCCACGGTAGAGGGTTGGTCCTGTTCAGATGATACAGATGAGCTGGAAGATAAAAGTCGCCACCACCACGTGCCTCTTCGTAATCCGCCGTCTGTGGGATACTGCCGAGAGACGACATCCTTCCATTGGCGGCGGCGCGATTCATCTTTCTCTTGAGCGACTTTTGCTTTCTCGATCGATCCGTCACGGTAGCATCTCGAATGGCATGTCCCACCTTTTCCCGACACTGACTCGGTTTCATCACATACCAGACTTCGTTGTCGTCTTGCTTCAGAAAGCGTCCCCCGTTTTCATGCACTCGGCGGACGATCGACATGACAATGTCTGACTTGACCGACCTGGCAGTGGCAGTGATATACCCTGGAATGACGTTGGCGACAATGTCACGGAACTTGCGGTTGCCCACTGCAATCAAGAGAAAACCAACCAACGGAGAAGCAACGGAGAAGTTAGCGTGGGAAGCTTATGCTTTGCTGCTGTCAGAACTGAACAGAACAGAACAGGATGCAGTACTCACCATGGTTAAACGACTCCTTCCCTCGCCCACACAACACATCGTTAGGCAGAATTTTAATCTTCACCCTCTCATTGTCATAATTTGGCTTGGACTCGTCCGTCGCAGCGGCGGGGGTCTTTGCTGGGAGCTTCATCATCATCACTATCGCTCAGCAACAATATTATGAGGTCTCTTTGGTGATACCGTGTTTGGTGTACCTCTTGGTTCGCGCTCTCTACTATCGCGTTCGCTTTGCAGAGTGTCACGATTCTGCTTTTGGTTGAGGAAGAATCAATCCCTCTGAGTAGACTAGTAGTGAAGGTGTGAAGGTAGATTTACGTTGAGTGGCGGTTTTTGATGAGCTTTTTGATGTGTGTTTGCCGCAGTTATCTTCTGGGGCAGCTCGTGTCAAATCATGTCATCGTCAAATAAATAAATGTCTTCTGCGATGTGCGAGGTGAGAATTTTGAGGGGTTGCTTTCTTCCAATGCCGCCGAGTGACGGTGGCTGGTGGCTGGACCGAACTTCTAGTAGGTTCCGCAACGATCTTTCTTGGGTCATTCAAAGTCACGGTAGCAGCAAATGTCGCGTACTCATTAGATTTTTCACGACTGTCGCAGCTTTATCGACTTAGAGCATGACATTTAGCAGTGGACTTAACAACGGACTATTTTACCGCGGCTTTCGTGGCTTCACCGCGACCTTAGAGCGACTATCGATTACCGTGACTTTGAGGCTTTTGCTATTCTTTCGACTTATTCGCCGAAACCTTGTGCATCTGGGCCTGGTGGCTGCGCGAAGCAGTGATTTGGCAAGCGACTGAGTCACTCAGTGGCGCTCCTGAGTAGCTACCAGTAGCTATGCATTCGTAGTCTGGCTAGCTAGTTACTGAGTGACAATCACTCATTGACAGTTAGTTTAATTAATTTTTAAAAGAACACCGGGCAGACAGAAGCCGTCTCTTCTAGTGATAACACCTGTTCCTTGTTGATCTTCAAGACGTCATCATATGACGCAAAAGCTCGCCATTAACGTGACCAAGAACGGATCAAGGTTGGCATCAAATCTACTGTTGGCATGAGATTTTGTAGCACGACACGAGAGGGACGGGACACCCCTCCGCCCGAGAGTTTCTTCTCACAATCCAATATCTTACTAGTAGATAACAAACAAATAACAAACAACAACAAAGCACAAAACAACTGTCTAAAATCATGTCTGAAACCATTATCATTTTCCAAGACGCTGTGGCCGCCGCCCTCAAGCGGTTGGACACGGCAAAAGAAACTCTGGCATCCATGGGTATCGAGGAGACGGAAATGCAAGCCCTGCACGATGAAAAGGTATGCCTCGAGCATGAAATTGTTGCCTTGCAGAGCGAAAAGGACATACTCTCGGCCCAAGTCAAGGCTCTGAGGAAAGAGGTGGCTTCGCTCGTGAGCAGCGAAGATATCCAAATGGAGCTCGAAGACACGCAGCTGGAGGATACCCAAGTGTCCTTCTTCACCCAGGCGCCCGACGAAACGAATGACGACGACGACAACGAGGAGGAAGCCGCTAAGGACGACGACGAAGAGGCCAACGACGAAGAACTCGAAGATACGCCGGTGGAGGATACCCAAGTATCCTTCTTCACTCAGGCGCCCAACGAAGCGAATGACGATGACGACAACGAGGAGGGAGCTGCCAAGGGCGAGGACGAGGAGGAAGCCGTCAATGATGAGGAGGAAGCCGTCAATGATGAGGAGGAAGCTGCCAAGGTTGAGGCCGAGGACGAACGCGAAGAGGCCAACGACGAAGAACTCGAAGACGGAGAGGCGAATAATGAGCCCAACGGTGATGAGCCTCGCCACGTGGATGACATGGCTGATGTTCAATATAACAACGAGGAACGCGAGCTCGCCAACGAGGAAAACATGCTGCGGGTCGAGGAAGGAAGTGATAACGAAGACGAGGACGAAGTCGAGGAAGCTGGCAAAGATGAAGAAGTACATGGCCAGGCAGCAGAAATCTGCAACGCGGAGATCGCGGACACCCCGCCAAAGGGGCGCAACGAAACGGGAGCTGGCCCCCCCAGCGAAGGTAGCATGGACAGCCGCGAGGATGAACCCGAGAACGACCCCACCACCACCCCCGCAGATGAGACGGTCGATACTCACACAATGACGTCGGGAGAGCCGGCAAAGGAAGGAGAGCCAGCAAAGGACGAAGCGCCCGCCCCGGAACAACAGGGCGGCGAAGACGATATTGCCCACTCCCAAATCTCTCAGATCACAATGATGACCGTTGACTGTCACTCTGTCTGCCGCCCATCCGCAGCAGAAGATCACAAAGAGGAAGCCCCCGACGATGAGGACGACGAGGATGCAGCCCCGATGTCCCAGATCACGATGATGACCAACGACGCGGTCGCCGCCAACAGCAAGGAAGAAGAGGAAGAAGTCGAGGCAGACGAAGATGCCCCCCTTTCACAGCTCACGATGATGACTGACCTCGTAATCGAAGCGGCCGGTGCCAACGACGACGAACCGGTAGCAGGAGAAGACAGAGAGGCGGCTGCATTTGCCTTTGAGAATGTGTCGGTGGTCGAACGACAGAGCCGTGGTTCTTTGGGCGGTCTTTCGGTTGCGTCCAGGACAACAACATCTTCTGGGAGGCGACGACGCGCACACAAGGCTTTTGTGTATTCTCCGAAGAAGTGGCGCCGTATGATCCGTACGCAACGCCTCAAATCCATCATCATCAAGCCCTGAACGCCTCAAATCAAGGCCCTGAATGCCCGTTAATGCCAGTTAATCAAAACCAGAATAGTTCACGATATTGCACGTAGCCTAATTTCCGTTCCAAAGCCCGGAGCATGGGGCGACCGAAGGTACCGGTAGCAGAACTTCAGTTGAACTTCAGTTATCTTCTCGATGAACCCAATCTCCAAGAAAAGAACTCCGCATTTGTATGACCATACGGCTGGAATAAAATGTGGGAAATGTGGAAAGGTTGGCCCCAGTTTGAAGAAGTGCCTCTGTGGCAAAGCCTACTGCTGCGGCAAGGAGTGCCAGAGAGATCAGTGGAGCAGCCATCAGTGGAGCAGCCATCGAGCAGATCACAACAGAATCATTGAAGAAGAGTCTTCCAAGTGGGAATGTGTCGACTGAGAAGAAAAACGAGTTCCGGGTTGGGGATCTGATTGCGAGAATAAAATCCGATTTTTCGGGAACTTGGTTGTTGTGTTTGACGGAACAAAAGATAGATGGTGGGCCCGGTTGCTTGACTCTCTCCTGCCGGCGCCCGCATCAAGTTTGCAGCGGTGTAGTGTCAAATTGGCCGGGTGACAAGACGTGTAGCGGGAGCGACGAGGAGTGTGTCGTATCCAAGAAGAACGAAGCGTCCAGCTTGTTCTTATTGCCATTCTTGTGATGGTTGTAGTTGCCATATTAGTCTAGTAGTTGTTGGATATTATTTATCCTCAGACACATTCAATGGAAGATAGATGGTCTCTTGTTTTGAGTTACGAAGAGTCTAGCTTGTTCTCCTGACTGATCTGAACTCTCCCTTGCCTTTGATGGAGGTGTCTACTATCCTATCGGTATGGTTGGACGTTGGTTGTGAAAGGTGAAAGTTTGTGCTCCGTCTCGAACTCACAACGGAAAGATCGCACCCCCCCCTACTTTCAAAGATCCAAAGATCTAACCCCCCAATAAAAGATCCACTACCGAAGCGGCACTTTTCGAAGGCGACCACGGCAAACGAGACCAAGATGACAACGTCGCACGTCGTATGGTACTACTAGTAGCTAGCAGCAACCAAAACCAACCACACCAAGGGATCTAAAAGCCGAGAACAAAAGAAGGAGAGAGATTGATAGAGATGACAACGTTGAAGCCACCAAAACCAACCCATCAATATCAGTATTCGTACAGATCCCTGTATCTATCTGCCATTGGATGGATCCAACTCATTGCTTACTGGTCCTACTATGTTCAGTTTCCCGGTCTCTTGAGTTCCTCCGGTATTGAACCAGTCCATCGCGTCTTTTCTCGAGCCGCTCCGTCACTCCATCAAGCATGGATTCAATCGGGACAAAAAATTGACGAAGATTCCTTGTGCGAACTCTTGGCTCTTTCTGGCATGATCCTGGCGGCACTGATTGCTTCCGGTTGGTGCCAACATGCCGTTTTATTTGCTGCCAATGTGGCCATTTACGGATTACTGGTTCGAACGGGTGGAACCTTTTACTCCTTTCAATGGGACACGCTCTTGCTCGAGACCACCACCGTAACTTGTCTGACTTATGCACCCTGGTGGCGATTCCGACCTGTCGACAACGACCAGTCACCCGTGGCGGCCATTCCCCTTCGATTTCTTCTGTTCAAACTCATGTTCATGTCCGGCATTGTCAAGTTGCAAGCGCATTGTCCCACGTGGGAACACCTCACGGCATTGGAATATCACTTTGCCACCCAGTGTCTTCCCGGACCCTTGGCATGGCATGCGCATCAGCTGCATCCCTTTTTACTCCGATTGGGTGTCGCCATTACGCTGTGGATCGAACTTCCCGCCACACTGCTCTTGGTGTTACCCTTGAAGTCCGTGCGACGCGTGGGAGCCCTGCTGCAACTGTCCCTCCAAGTCTTGATTATTCTCACGGGCAATTACAACTTTTTCAATCTACTGACCATGGCGCTGTGTATACCTGTTTGGGAAGAAGAAGAACAACAAAACAACAATAATAATACTGATGATGCTCGGGCAAACAAGAAACAAACGACAACAACCATACTGTGGGTCCTAGTAGAGCAACTTTTCTGTTGGACATTTCTCCTCGGCACATTCTTTTCCATGTTTCGGATAGTTCATGTCGGGCCAGATCAGAACCTCAATATTGTTCTCTTGCAAGATTCCATGTGGATCCAGCCACAAGTCTTTCTTCCGTGGGTGCCCGGTGGCACCCTAGTTTTGATTGCCGTAACGACATTGGTTACTACTACTACTCCAAGACCATCCAAGATATTCCACGGTCTAGTCTGCTTTCTGGTGGTGGGCATTGTGGCACTCCCCATCTTTCATCAAATTCCTCTCGGCGACAACCAAACTCTTCGACCGGGACCGTGGTTTCGCACATACATCCAACCCTATTGGCTAGTCCATGGCTATGGCTTGTTTCGAAGAATGACGGGGGTGGGGACTGTGCCACGAGGAGCCACGGGATGGGCTGGATTACCACCGTCGGCAGTGGCTCGACCCGAAATTATTCTCGAAGGATTGTTTGCTGTTGACAATGACGAAGGAGAAAAAGAATGGCATGAACTCGACATGTTCCGGTGGAAACCGGGGGCCGTGAATGCCATGCCACGGCAAATGGCACCCCACCAACCTCGACTCGACTGGCAAATGTGGTTTGCCGCGTTGGGGAACATTAACCACAATCCATGGTTGGTTCATTTGATTCAAAAAATCCTCGAGGGATGTGAGCCCGTCATGGATTTGGTAGGCGCTGCCAGTCCATCCATGAAACAGTTGCAGAAGATACGAGGCAAGCTCTATCACTACGATTTTACCCGGCTCAATACAACCTGGAGTCGGACCATACCCGGAGTGGAAATCTTGCCTCCGTCAGATGACAGCAATTTGTTGGTTCCGTCCAAAGTGTGGTCGCGAAAACTGGTTCACGAATATCTGCCACCCGTTGGGACAAAGGAACTCAAGGAGTTTCTGCGATTGCATGGCTACAAGCGCTATTGTGTCGACCCCAAGCAGCGGTGCGCTCGCCATCACGCAAACCCGTGGTGTCCTATTGCCACAAGCATCCGTCAATTTCGAATCTACCTCTTGATTCCCTCCACTTTGGTTCTGTTGGTTCTATCGAGGTTGTGGCGACGTCAACGACTTGTCCCGCGACAAGACTCACCGGTGACTCACAAGCAGAAACGAGGAGATAGTTTGGAAGAAAAGAAGAACCAATAGAGAAAAGGATAGCTCGTTGGACGAGATAAACACTCTCTGTCGCTTTGCAAATGGGAACGAGGATTCCATTTGGCATGAGAACCATCCTGCAAGTTGCAGGCGAAAGAGGAAACGTTGCAGCTGGGTGTTGCAGCACAGTGTGTCGATTGGGGGACAAGGCAGATGGAGCATATTCAATTTTAACCAAATCTCGGTCCATGTATGTGTACGACCCATACAAATATGTCCAAGGTTTGAATCTTGAACGAAGGGCGCAGCCTTTTCATCCCATTCGGTCTATGCATAATCTCACGCAATCAGGCCATCTTGGCACTGATTCTTACGGCTACATCCACAGCAAATCCATACACGTGTACTCACTATTTGTAGAGGAAAACTACCTCTAGTGTGCTAATTGAAAATCTGGACCAAGCGACTGCCTTGGTTACACGCCACGGACCATCTTGAAAAGATTCTCTCCTGCGGTGGTCTCGTTTCCCTCTGCAAAACGCATCTTCAAATCAGATGAACTATCGCTGTACGTGGCAAAAGCCAATTGGAGAAGGCGATTTTTCGATTGCCTCTGTCAGGGGCTCAGTGCAACTGCTCCAACTGACGGGAAGGAAAGCTCAATTGTTTCTCATCGCGGCATTGGTGCTGAGACGCAAACACGGACTGGGACCAGGGCAGCAAGACCAGTGGATCATGGAGGAAGATGACAGCATCAGGGTCGTCAGCTACTACCGGTAACAGTTGGGGGATCCAAGCTGGGAACATGCCCATTGGTGACTTGAGTGACTGTCACTCTGATGGTGCTATGGTAGGGTGGGGGCTTTCGAGAGGGGACAAAGGCAACAGAAACGAACATTTTGCAAATCCAATTTTACTACTGACTGTATCCAATTTTCTTACTTTTGGCTGCACCAGCCCCATCATAATATGACAACACGAACGACATGTATTTGTCTCGTGCCACCCCAGATTGCTCCATTGCAAACCCTGCGGCTCAAGAACAGAATGGCTCTTTCTCACCAATTCTCCCCATGTTCGACCACAATAACACAAGTCACTGGAAAGGACACAGGGTCTCCTCTATCCAAGTCAAACTTGGGGTCGGGCACTGTATCAGGGGGGTAGTTGAGGGCTCTCAGAAAATGATTCTCAATGCGGTTGGCGCTAATGCCCACAACAATGCCCGTATTTGTCACAGCCACGGCCAGCACCCACAACCGCTCTGATGCCGTCCATCCAGCAGCAGGAACATACTTGTAGGCACAGACCCTGACGTGGTCACCCGACCGAATCTCTGGGATTTTCCAATGGTTTCCCGGCTTCCCGTGGGGGAATATGCCGTCGCAGCGTGCTCTCTTAGGGCTTGATTTCAAAATCAGTGGGCTTATCGGAAAAATCCATGAATGGGACATTTGTCTTGACATAGACTGTGCCATTCTCAACTCTTGTGGATCCACAGTCTTTGCGGTGCATTGGCCAATGCTGTTTCTGATGTTCCTTGGAGCAATACCACGCAACTTGGCATCGGCAGCTAGCCCGCTCTTGGCATACCGGTACAGCGCAATACTGATCGTACTGCTGGACTTCCAAACAGAACTCACTAAAATCCATCAAATGTCCTGTACCTGCCATGTCGTGGACCGTAGCCCCCTCTTCAAAGTCAAAGTTGGGATCGTTCAGTTTCCAAAATGTATTTGTACTGTCCATTCTCAATACACCAGTGAATGTTCCTACACCACGAAAATGTTGGTATTCTGTCTTAGGCAAGGTAGACCGACCCCATGCACATTCCCCGCAGCCACAAGGGTGAAGAGTCACTCCCGTCGGACTAGAGGGAGGGCTAGGAGGAGGACTAGAAGGAGGACTAGAAGGATCGGACATGATGTTGACGTTGCTGATCCACAAGGTACACGATACCACCAGTACCGTACCACTGCAGCGTAACCCAATACTATTCGAGAGAGCCTTTGGCACTTCTATCCCAGGTACGGTACCTACCTCCTTGTTTCGCTTGACTCGAGTAACTCGGTTCTACTATCTTCTTTCTGGTGCTCTTAAAAAAAGAAATTGTGAGAGTTGCTGAAGATCCATCACAGTCTCCGTTCTTTTTCGTATGGCTCGCTCGCAAAATTTTTCGCACGATTTTGGCCCGAACACAAACGGCTGCCAAACGTACCGGATGTACGGTATGTCATTACGGTACCGTAGCTTGTGGCACACGGTACCGTACCGGTACCCCTGGCATAGAGGCAAGAGGCAAGCTACCAGGGCAACTGGAACTCGAAACAACGGAGTAAATGACTTCTAATAAAGAGACCTGCGCAGGATGACATTCATAGAAGCCACCCTCCAAAGACCAATTCAAAGAATCGAATCGAATCGACTCGACTCCCATGAAGTACACGTACGATGTAGCTACCAGTGCCAGTACGTGTACCACTGTTGAGAGATCATCGAAATACCTCCCTACATGATGAAAGGCGCCCCCGCCACAAACAAGCCCTTCACTTCCTACATCAGAGTATTACCCATGAATACTTACGAGGTCGCGACACCCTTGCACTACGCTAAAAGCTAGTGTAAAGATCTTTCGAGTGTTCTTGAGTTTGAGAGAATGAAAGTTATGAGAGAGATTAGAAAGCTATGAAAACTAATCAACGAGAGAGATCATCATCAAGGGATCGTAGATCTGGCCTCCCGCGGGAGACTATAAAGTGTGATAGAGTAGGTTGCGGTAGTAATCCTACGTATCTCCACGATCCTAAAACGGAACGCGTGGAAGGTTTGTCTAGCATGGATCTAGTAGCGTGGAAGTACTCCACACTTGCTAAATATCTAGGGCGATGTTTCATCATCAACCTAGTATGACTAGAGCGGTCATTGAGAACCCTGTCTCGAATTACTATTCACCAGAGACTCAGTCATGAGTCGAACTCAAACCCTATCTAGGATCGAGTCGCGAATAAGGCTAAGAGCCGTGTATTGCATTCGCCCCCTGACAAGGGGCGCGACAGCAGTCGGACAAGGAGAACATATGATTTAAAGTGCGGGGCACTCTCATGAGATTTGGATGTAGACATGTGCATCGCACGATGGCAATCCTACAAGGGGATCAGGCCTTGTATGGGTGTATATACCTTATGTTCGAAGTCTGGTAGACTGTGCCGCCATTGGCGGTAGCATGTCGGAGCCGTACAGTGCCATTGTCATTGACTCGGTCTATAGTGTAAGGACCTTTGTACTTTGGCTGACCGTACTTGCGGTGCTGATACTGTTGAATCATTACGGTATCGTTGACATTGTATTGATGAGGGACACGCGTCGCGTTTTCCCTATCGTTGTTCTGTTGGATTAGTCGTTGGCGACGTTCCTTGATGTACTTCCAGTTGGCTTCGAAACGGACGTTGTGAATCGCGTCACGATTGAACACGAGCTGCGCAGGCGTTGTACGCAACGTGGTATGAATCGTGGCGTTCATTGCAAAGCGAACCGCCGTGAGGACTCCATCCCAGGATCCATTCACGAGGTCGTCTTGGCACTTGATGTTTTGAACAGCGATCAAGTTGCGTATGGTCTGATGAGCAGGCTCGACCATAGAGTTGGCCTGAGGGTTACGCGTAGTGATGAACTTGCGACGAAGTTCATATTCATCCCGGAGTGTCTTTTTGACCTCTGCGCGGAACTCACGTCCTCTATCCATGATAACCTCAGCAGGCCATGGATACCGAGTAAGCCACGTTTGTTCTAGGACGATGGCTACTTCGTCTTTGCTGCCTTGGAGCAGATCTCGTCAATATCGAACCATTCGGTTACGGTGTCAATCATTGTCAAGCAAATGAAATGTGTTGCAGGAATTTTTTTTCTTGTGATCCCCGACTTTGTAAGGACCTATCAGGTCAATACATAGTCTTTCCCAAGGATCTCCTCGCAAGTCCTTGGAGGAAGCAATCCCAACTTACGCGTCTTGGGTTTGTTCATTTGGCAGCTCTGGCAACGCTGACATAAGGACTGCACAGTCTTGCGCAAACCTTTCCAGGTGTAGTGTCGGCTGATGGTCAGTTCTGCGCGAGTCTCGCCAGGATGCATCAGTACACCATGGTTCCATTCGACTAGCTTCTTCCTGCATAGTCTTAGGTACAACGATCTTATCGTCCTTAAATACTAAGTCGTAAGACTTAACCCCTCTGGGGAAAGATTACTCCTTGTAGTCGTTGCTTTGCTATTTTCCCTTTTTTCTGCTCCATATATCCACAAGTCAACGTTATCTTCCTTAGTGCAGGAAGCCCTAAGAAATGTACTAGGTATGCCGATAAGATGTCCTGATGCCTATAAACATAAATTATCTCCCACCATAAGATCCTCGCTCGCTACTGTTCTGTTATCCAAATGCCCCTAAGACATGGAGTTTACTCAAAAGATACTCCATCTCGCTCTCTCGTACTCCTGTCTGACGCGCAAACGCTCTCGTCATCCTCGCCACGCACATGAGCACACGACAGCACCTTATGAGCTCGATGAAAAGAGAAGAAACATACCGCAACCCGGAAAACCGGCACCGCTCCACGTCGATCCATCCTCGCTCGCTACCGACAATCTACACTCTCTC